AGTGTGAGAGTCAATCCTTCAGTTGAATATCAAGATACTATACAAGTATCAAAAACAAGAAATAAATATAAAACACACATTTTACAGACACACACTACTTCTCACACACACACACACACACACACACACACACACACATACACCTATGTGTTTAGAGAAAAAAAGAAAAAGCTATGGCAAATACCTAGAAATTCAAAGTATCATATGTGATTTTCCCTTGTGTAGAAAGAAAAACATCCACTCATAGTAACTTATTCTACATAACTATAAAACAAGTCTTAGTCTTTTCCTATCCCTCGTGGGGTTTACTCATGCGCATATACAATCTTGGAGATTGATACATTCTCCAGGACATGTCTTACAGATGTCTGAGGAGCATCTCTAAGACTCAGCATTAGCAATCCAACAATATAAAATAAATGCTTGTGGGAGAGAAAGCCCAACGAAATTATAGTTGCTACAAAAAAAGGGGGGGGGGCATTTTTCTAAAGGGAGAAATAATCAACATATTAAAAAAAAAACTACAAACCTAACTGAAGTTGTTTACAATATAAGCAAATACCATCATATTGTTTATAGTATTTTTTAGTTTTGGGTCCACATCCAGTGGTTCTTGGGGGTGTTCCTGGCTTTGTATTCAGGGGTGAATTTAGGCAATGCTCAATCGTCTGAATGCAGTTTCTGGAATCATGACTTAACATCTGAAATAGGTATTTTATTAATGCTATAAAAATCCAATTAAAAGTAAAGTCAGATCGGGGCTGGAGCAATAGCACAGCAGGTAGGGCGTTTGCCTTGCACGCAGCCGACCTGGGTTCGATTCCCAGCATCCCATATGGTCCCCAGAGCACCACCAGGAGTAATTCCTGAGAATTACTCAGAGCCACGAGTAAACCCTGAGCATTGCTGGGTGTGACCCAAACCCAAAAACCAAAAAAAAAAAAAAAAAAAAAAAAAGTAAAGTCAGATATGGCTAGTTTGGTTTCTCCCTCAGAAAGGAAGGAACCACCTACTTGAGTCTTTTAACAGACTTGCATGCAAAGAGGTCCTTTCTCAAATACTATACTTTAAATCAGTAAATAATTTTTTAAAGAAAAATTAGAAGTTAAAAATACCAAAACCAATATAAGGTTTTCTAATCTAGGGAATTAATACCAGTGTCTCTTGCAGATCAACTACTTTCCAGAACCTGATCACTAGTAAAACAACCATCTTTACAATTTAGGATAAAATTTCAAGGGATGGTATGAGATCATTTTAAAATGTAGGATAGTTTTAAAAACCAGGAGATTCTTCATAACATCAGTTTGAGTGACTCCAGTAATGACAAAAATGATGAGGTAACACAAGACATTGAAAATGAAAGTAATATTTACTTATTTCAAACACGCAAGTGAATCATCTGAGTGCTCTAGACATTAATTAATCTGAACAAAGTCACCGATACAAAAGTTACTGTTTCGTTAGAGAATAGAATGACATAAAAATTTCCCAGTAATTCAGTAAAAATGATTAGAAATGAAAGTAGAGCTGAGAGACATTCAAAGGAATGACACATAGGGAGAAGCTACTAACAGTCCCCTAAGCACCACCTGGTATGGGCGTAAACCCCAAGGACCACAAGAAATGGCATCAAAACCTAAAAGTCCAAAATACAAAATAAAATATGAAAGATTAGGGTTTATCCCTAATATCATTATTTCCTTTTTTGAATAAATATATGAAATGATTCTACCTTAAAAAAATGTGATTATTCTGTAATTATAATTCTTTAGTCATGCTGCATTACTTTTCATTAATTTAAAAAAGAAAAAGAAAAATTGGGGGTTTCTCAAGCAGTACTCAGAGGCCCAGAGTCACTCACAGCAATACCTGGCCATCCTGGGCAGACAGTTCAATTCTAGGGTCCAGCAGTGCTGGTGACTACTAGGACACTACTGGTAGAGTTCGGAGAACTCCAATGCCTCACCTAGACTTAAACGGGAGCCACGCAATGACAAAGATCAAACTCGGACCCTGTGCATCCAGTTCATACACCATTAACTCCTGAGCTACTGCCAAGGCCAAAAATAATTAGAGAAATAGTAGCAAAAAGTACATGACAACAATTTTCCCCAAATCAAAACTCAAAAAATGAAGTTAAAATTACATAGAGCCATGGTAAACAATACGGGAAAGGATTTGGTCTTACTCTAGCATTATGGCAACTTTGTGATGTATTTTTTTTAAAAAAAAAAAAAAACCTCTAAATGTCAGCTAAAACCAGACATAGTAACTGACATCCAAATACTCAGCAAGATGCCCTGGCAACCTGCATCACTAAAGTCTATTAGCTAAGGTCACACATAGTTTTCATGCAAGCAACCGGATCCATAGACATAATCTGTTTGCTACTCTTTGATATTCTTCCATTCTCACCCTACCCCCCAAGTCTTTGGACCAGACCCAAAAACTGGCTCTGAGCTCAGGAATAATCTCTGGTGGCAGTACCCGGGGATCACACGTGGTATCAGTGATGAAACAGGGTTCAGTCAGGTAAGATGGCGCCCTCACCCCTGTACAGGTTCTCTGAACCCGATACTATTAGGATATTCCCCACACACACACAAAAAGTTAATGTTTTTAAATTTTTCAATTAATTGCCATATTTTTTTAAATCATAACATTTTTCATTAAAAAAAGTGGAAATAATATCCCTTGAAAAAATGGTAAGAGCTAAAACTACCAGGACTGCTTTATAATTTCGTTGTATTTGTGCAGTGAGTGACCACCCCCTTTAGGTAAGACATGAGATTTTCCATATTAAATAGTTCCCAACTGGTTCCTCACTGATTTGCAGTTCTGACACATGGAGTCATTTGAGCATCTGACAACCACAAACCAAGCAGATATCAGAACTGGGTCCTAAGGTTACAAAAAGTCCGCTTCTTTGATTTTCTGGGATAGTGAGTTTTAGAACTGAAGCCGATAAAGTGTTTACAAATTTCACAGAACCTTTGCTTTAGGTAAGTTGTGAATAAAGATTCTATGAGAACTGCAGAATGCCACCTTTGCCTGCCCAGGCACATGTGAAATCCCATACAGTATCTACTAAAGGACAGTGATGCTCCCTCCGTCCCCTAAGAAAAACCCAACGGTCAACAAAAATTTCAGAAATTTCTACAGCCTTCTAGACATTGTATCCTACTATTCCCACTTAATTTCTAGACCTACAAGGTCAGGAAAGCTCTTAAATAATTGGTCTCAAAAACAATAATCAGGAATAGAAGGAAGGTTCTGTAGGAATCTTGTCACTTAACCTAATTTCAGAAGGAATTACTACACTGATCCTCAGACTTTGCTACACACTGGAATTATCTAGGATCTTTCCAAAATAGTGATACTTGGCTCCCGCCCCCAGGCACTCTGATTTAATTATTAGGTGAGTCTACTGTGCTGCCAACTTGAAAACCAGTGAGCTACTATTAAAAGCATTCTGGTTCTATCATGTACAAAAGTCTTTCTCAAAGTGGGCGATACCACCCCAACCCTGGGGCTGCTGGAACAACCCTGTGTTGGGGGCTGGCTAGTAGTGTTTTCTGTTTGTTCAATTGAAGGGCACAGGTTTGCAGTAAGGTGCTTAATAATATATTTCTGGGAAAAAAGGGCAATAGGCCAAATGAGTTTGGGAACCACTGACATCATAAAAAACAAACTCTTCTTTAGAAGAAGGTACATAGAGTCCTATAAGCTTATATGGCAAATGATCAAAAAGGGAAATTCAGGAAAGAGAATAACTGTATCTGGCATGTAATAAACCAAACACTACATTTTTTAGTTTTGTGGTTTGAATAGTTATGCAGTAAGGTCATTAAAGATTACTTTCAAGTGACACTAGATTAAAGACTTTCAAAATGTTAGCACCTGGAGAATAATATCCATAATACTCTATTTACTGCTAATTCATTTATAAAATCATAAGTAAGGTGGTCTGGAGCGATAACACAGCGGTAGGGCGTTTGCCTTTCACGTAGCCGGCCCGGCCGAGCCGTGTTCGATTCCTCTGCCCCTCTCAGAGAGCCCGGCAAGCTACCCAGAGTATTTTGCCCTCATGGCAAAGCCTGGCAAGCTACTCGTGAGTTATTCAATATGCCAAACACAGTAACAACGAGTCTCACGATGGAGACGTTACTGGGCCCGCTCGAGCAAGTAAGGTAGTACCAGCAAGAAAATTGCTTTTTAAAATAAAAAGGCAATTTCCTAAGCCAGGGATGTGTCTTAGTGATACAGTGTCTGCTTCATATGTGTGAGGCTCTCAGCTTCGCTCTGGCACCACTTCAAAAGAAAATACTCAGATGAACAACAAATAACTACCTAATAACTATTAAGTGATAGACACTGTTCTGCTGTATCCAGGTGACACAGTGCTGAGCAAATGAAAAACAAAATAACAAACTAACAAAAAAAACCCAATGTACATGATCACAGGGAGTGATAGCACAGTGGGTAGGGTGTTTGCCTTGCATGCAGCTGACCCAGATTTGATTCCTCTGTCCCTCTCGGAGAGCCCAGCAAGCTACTGAAAGTATCCCGCCCACATGGCAGAGCCTGGCAAGCTCCCCGTGGCGGATCAATATACTAAAAACAGTAACAGCAAGTCTCACAATGGAGACATTACTGGTGCCCGCTGGAGCAAATCAATGAACAATGGGAGGACAGTGCTACATGATCACAGATCTAGGGAGACAGGAGGAGAGACAACTAACAAACATGAAAATCCAGAAGGGGGAAGTCAGAGAGTGAGGGATGCAAGGTGTCATTTGAGATTTGCAACTTTAAATAAAGTCTCAAAATCAATAATTTTAGAATGCTTCAAAATGACATAATATATATGTATATATATATGGGATATAGACATATCATACCATACATATTTACCAAACTCATATGTCAAGGTAATAAAATACATTCAAGGTAACAAGTGTGTCATAGTAAAAATGATCAATCTACAGATACCATACCTCCATGTGGGATCTTAGGGTTCTCTGGGAGTCTTCCTGGATCAGTTATTGACGCCCTCACTAAGGCCACCAGACAAAATATGGAAATTCCATAGAATACTTAAAAGAAATAAACAAAATAAATTAACATAAACCCATTCAAATACTGTCAACACTGAACATTTTAATACGATCAAGATAATTTTCAAAAACACATGGTTAAGTAATTTTCACTCATCAAATAACACCACCAAAAGGACTATATTAAAGTACTCTTTTTTAAATATGATTTTGCATGCCACTGACATAAACTAATTATAGATAAGGTCCTGTGTGTTTGTTTTTGGGATAACTGGGAGCAAACGAAGAGCTTCACACATGGCAGGAGCATGCTCTACTCTCAGCCACATCCTTGGCCCTAGGACAGAGATTCCCCATCAATGGTGGTCTAAACAAAACTTTTAAAAAAAACATTTTCTAAATCCACTAATAACAGCAACAAAAACAAAAACTGTTTTGTTAGCTCTAACTGGTTATCTTCAAATTTCAACTTTAAGTTAGTAACGTTTGATTGCTCCTTTACATGAATTTGAAAATAAAGAACTGGGTCGGAGAGACAGTCTGGTAGATAGGGTGCTTGCCATGCACATGGTCAACCCATGCTTGATTCCCAACAGCCCGTATGGCTCCAGGAGCACCACCAGGAGTAATTTCTGAGTGCAGAGGCAGGAAAAATTCCTGAGCATTACCAGGTGTCACCCCAAAACCAAAAAAATCTATAAACATTTGCGTGTGAAAAGGAAAAACCAGAACCAGGAGATGGTATAGCCATTCGGGCACATGGTTACTCCCCACCCCGGTTTGACCCCCAGGACCACATGACCTCTGAGCGCTACCTGGTATAGCCCTTGTACACTTAAGCACTGCCAACTATTGCCCTAGAGGTTCCTGAGCCCCACTGGGCTGGCCTGACGGTGCCCAGAGTCACAGGGCACAAGCAGTAACACACCTTCAAGCCCTAGCATTGAACCACCAGGTTAGCTGGACAAGGATCTCCAGGGTGGTCCCAGAACCCTTAGGCACCACTCAGGAAGGTCCCTTAAAAATAATTTTAATGAATAATTAGAAAAATAATAAAATACAGCAGATCAGTCAAGACCATCTAACTTCTGGGGACCTAGGGAGGTATGAGCCACATCCAGTGGTACTCAGGAGCTATGCCTGGCTCTGTGGCCCAGGAATATGGCTCCAGAGGACAGGAGCAGAGCAAATGCCTAGCACGCTCTAGGTTTTGAGTTCGATTCTCAGTACCATATAGTCTTGCTGTCCTCTTAACCCCCAGCACTGCCAGGGTGTCTCCCAGAACAATGGGGCTCAGGCACTGAGGCCCCAAACTGTTGGGAATGTGTAGGGATTGATCCCTGGGAGACCTGTGAACCGCTGGGGGTGGTCATTACATAACAGAAATGTGAGACGGAGAGAAAAGCAGAGAAGATAGCATGGTGTATATAACAGGCAAGTTGGTACTGAAGCTAACTCTGGGCTAATTGCATGGCAAGGGTCAGTTTATCACTTGTGCAGAAATTACATTTCCCACAATTCCTGCCAGGTCAAAATGATATACTGTACATAAAAACTATAAAATGTCATGTACGTATAAAATATATCATTTTACTCTTATTCATTCTTTAAGCCATAAGCTATACATCACCAATAAACTATATTAAAAACTATCCATCCAGTTTAAATATTATTATCATCAATATCACACTCAACAATTTTTACATGGTAAAATTCACATTTCTCAATAATATATACCATCCAAATTCTTAAAACTCCTTACAGGGCAGAGGATGTAGCTCAAATGGTAGAGCACATGCTCTGGCATTTGTGAGTCCCTGAGTTTAATTCCGGGCATCACAGGGCCCCCAAGTGTCACTAAGTGTTGTCCCCACAATAATTAAGAACAATCATAATTCAGTAAACAGCAATATTACCAACACTGATAATAGTAACATCAAGAATACCATAGTGGCATAATATTCAAATACATTAAAAATGAGAAAAACAACTACATAAAAAATAAAAATTGATACTTACTTATTATTAATATGCCTGGAATATGTCCTTCTTCATAATGAGGAAAGAGGACAATTTTGGGGATTATAACAATATTGTATAACCAGACAAAGACAATCAAACCCATGCAGCACCAACCATGTGGGTCAACAACAAAGTGAATCCGGAGACCCATTCTGCAGCGCTACAACTGCCTGCCAAGGAAAGACAGTCCTGAGAGGAGAAAGAGAAAAAAAAATCACTGACAAAGGGAAAAAGCAGCTGAGTGAAATAAAACAAAGTTGCTGGTGACTATAAAACAATACTGTTTTCTTTGTAGAGTTTTTTATTTAGTTTCTCTGAAATAAAATACTTTGGAAAACAAAGTTTCAGGGTAGCTTCACCATAAACTTTCAGGGACTTCACCATAAACTTCTAGTAATTTATATCAATTTTCATAGTGAACTAGTCTCATCAAGCATAAAATGGCATTACCTCCTGAAGTTAAATGTACGTTTATCTTTAACACAATAAATTCATCCGTGAACCCAAGAGACATGAGTGCACATCCCCATCAAAAAGAATAAATTCACATGTGAACCCAGGATAAATGAGTGTGCATCCCCATCAAAAAGAGACAGAATGTTTTAGTAGTATTAATCAAAAAACTACTATGGTCACACAAATCAAAACAGTTTATTAACCGGAAAGAGATATGAAGAAAGCTTGGAGGGGGGTTTCACTTTGACCTTTATGGTTGCAAACATCTATAAAATTTCACTGAGCACTGAAAATTTCTGAAATTGGGCCGAAGAAATAGAGCTCAAATTTTGCACATGAGCTGCACGCACAAAGCCCAAAGTTCAGACCCATACATCCAGGCTACCTATGACTAGGACTGACCCCCAGAGACCACTAGGGAAGCTATCCCCCAATATTTTTGCAAAACATTTAGCTTGGTTGTAAGCCATACAATCTATTTTTTTTTAATTTTGAAAAGAGAATTACACATTTCCCCAAACTTAGAGTTCACGGAATGAAACGAATTAATCTTATTATTGTCAACTTAAGAGGTCTATTTTTGAAATAGGGCTTTTTTTTCCAGTTGAGTGTTTAAAAAATATCATCAAAATTCCCAAAGAGACACAATAAGTTAAGATACTGTTACACAGATGATACAAAAAAAGTGATTTAAAATATATCTATACTTCAGTAAATGTATCAATTACAAAGTTTAAAAAATAAATCAGTATATAAGGTCTCGGTACATCTCTTACATAAAACACAATGGAATAACACAGTAAGAAACCAGCCAATGTTCCTCAAATCTGTAAGCAAGCCAGAATCAGAGAAGCTTAATAAAAGTACTGTCCGTAGGCCAATTCCAGATCTACTGAATCATAATTATTTATGGAGTAAAATGGAAAAAAAACCAATAAAATGTTTTAAAATGCTCCCCAGGTATCTCTGATCCAGCTGACTGATATCCAGCAAGCACTGATCCATGGAGCTTACTAAAATACTTCAGTGTGAGAGCAATGAGTTGAATTCAATTCAACAAATATTCATCGAAACCCCTCTATAATACCAGCTACTTGCAAGACGTTATAAATACAATAGTGAATAAGACGGATCTTTGCCTAAAGGATAGCTAATAGCCTTATGGGAAAAGAGCAATAAAATGAGTTTAATATGATAAGTTCCAGAGATGTGGGTAAGATGTGAATAAAAGGCATTTTTAAATGTGAAACTGTGAAAAAAATGAAGAATCGTTTAATTGGGTAAGACTTATTGTAAAGGTGAAAGCTGAGTTTAGTCTTAAGTAAAAGTTATCCTGGCAAAGAAAAGTGACAATGATACCGCAAACAAAGGGAGAGTGAGAGGTACGTAAGATTAAATTTTGTGGGAGGTATTAAAAACTGCTTTCATAAATCATGAGTGCTAAGAAATGTGGGATTATATCATAAAAGACACAAAGATGTCACGTTAAAATGCTAAGACTTTATTATTAACAGAAATCAGTTAAAAATGGGGGCTAATGAAATAAGAGTTAAACTTCTTTGAACAAAGTATTCAAGTTCTAAGATGTAGCAGATAAAATTAAAGGCAAATTAAGTCAGCGAATAAAAATTCTATTTAGAGAAGAGATCAACTGAAGAAATATTAAACTTGACAAGTAATCTCATATTAGGGATCCCAAAGGGGAAAAAAGTTAAGGATTACCCCTGGATTTTCACTTTATATCTGAGATTTCATCATCACTTGAAGAGTCTCAGGGTACCAATCCTTACAAGAGAGGCTCCAAAAAATTTCTGATTTACACCTGCTCCTTTTCTAAAATAAATATTACTCAGCATCCTCTACAAATCTACCCTTTTTCAAGTGATCAACCAGAAAACAGCCCTCTAACTGCACTCAGATCTGCTGCCAATTCCGGGGAAAGGTATCACTAACTTTGGGAAAATCTGCTTTAGAGGCCTTGCCAACTTACTTTAAAGCCAAAAAGTTAACAAAACAAGGCGGGCAGGGGTAAGGTTAAGAATTACTAAATTTTAAAGAAATCCACTACCCTATCTTACCTGGAAGTTGCAAATAGTAACACAACAGGGAAAAAAAAAAGACAAATACTCAAATGCAGTACCACCCAATGCCCAATGTTAAAGCAGAAAATGTTCTAAATTTGCAGTTTTGTGTAAAATCTAAACTAGAGGTAATGCCTAGGCCTCGGGGAGACGGGGGAATCAAAGTTAATTCAATTACTTCTAGTGGAAAAAAAAACTATTACTATAGTGAAAAAAATCACAGAAGGCATGTAATTTCATTAGCTTGAAATCATTATTTCAAAAAAAAGTGTTCAAATACAAAAGATAAACTATCTACATAGCTAAAGAGCAAAACACTAAAAAGATGGCTTATTTTTACAGTCTTGCCATCAAGTGTTAAAAAGAAATTATGGTTCTGTCCATATGTTCAATATTAACTTCATGTACCTTTCTTTCTTCCTTCAATATTTCACACTACGCAGGACTCAAAAATGTGAATTTCAATAATATTATAGAACACACTAATTTCATTAGTTATTTCAAAATGCATTACTATTAGAAACAAACATACAGTAAAACACATAGCAAAACTAGCAAATGTTCATTCATTTTTGAACTCCATTTTTATTTTCCTTTATGAAAAATAGTATAGTTTTCTTATAAGATTACTCACTACAAAAAATAATGGTTTAGAAATAGTTAAACATGTGTACTTTTCCTGGATATAAATAAATATATACAGACTACAAACTTTAAAAGAACATACATCTCCAAGGAAAATGAAGCAGAGGATAGAAAAGTAATAATCAAAGAAAATGCTGAAATTTAAAAAAAATACCTGATTAGTGACAATTAGTGACACATAATCCTTATGACTGAATTGTAGAGAAGAAAATGGTAGTCTCCCAAGAGCTCCACACAGATTACAACCAGAAACACATAACTGGTAGAGTTGTAGGATGGTCACACTCAGTTAATACCTACCAGGCGTGGCTATGGCCGAACAGAAACTATTACACATCTTGAGCAACAAATGAACTGAGTACAAGGCTGCTACTTGGTCTTAGAGGTGGCATTTGTAAAATACTTTCATTAGCTGGAGATTCCAACATGTTAATATGCATATTAAATGGTGAGCTCATAACTCAAACTTTGATTTAACTAGTGGACAAACCAGTTCTTCAACATATTTTAAGATTGCTATCTGGTAACTATACTTGAGTGCTGTGACTAACTTCATTAATGATGCAAATTACTACATCACAAGCTTTTTTTGAAAAGAAATTATAATTCAGCTGCAATAAATGAGACCACATACATATTTACTATGTTCAAAGTATTCAGGCAGGAGGTTTCCTTTCCTTTTCCTACCTCTTCAGAAAATTATGTTTCATTACATGTTTTCCTCAGGAAGAATATATGAGTCATTATGAAGGGAAAACTGTTATATGACAGAAAACTACTAATATCAGAATGCAGATTTCAGAAAATGATAAAAATAGGTCAAAATGATTTCCAGGTAATATGCAAACAGACATTTCTAAACTTGGTTTCATACAACTACATCTCAGCTAATGTGGTCTTATTACTGTTCGTGAATATGAAAAATAGACTTCCTTTTCCATTCTTCCTAACTGAAATGGCCCTGCCATTCTGCTTATTCAGTTCAAGGGACTAAGAGAACCTTTCTGAGATGCTGATACAAATCTCCACCTTGACATCTCTTGGAGAAACACAGGTGAATGAATCTGGCAGAGCTCAGCAAACATATACTTTTGATAGGTACATTCCATGATATGCAAATTTACCTTTAAAAACTCCAGTACACTAATATTGAACTCTACTTAATCATATGTATGCTGAATATTACGGGGATGGGGAGGAAGTATACTGATGTCTGCAATTTATACTTTGAAATAGATCCAAAAATATCAATAAACTGGGTTGATGGATAGACAGAGATGGATGATTATGTTATGAAGTCTAGTTCAATATTAGCTGTAGAATCTACGCGATAAGCATGCAGGGTAGAATGAAATTTTTTCCACTCCTGCTTGAAATATTTCACAATTAAATGTGGAAGGAGAAAGTGAATCAGAGAGAGTCTGCATTCCTTCTCAGGAAAAAAGTACATATGTACCAGTAACTCTGCTATACACATGAACAGGAATAAAATATAGAACAAAACATATCAAACTATTGATCTGTCTATTAGTAGAAAGGGAGAGGGAAAAATAGAAAAGGTTTTTATATAACAAGTATGTATTTACGTGTTCTTACAAGTTTAATAATTTAGATTAACAACTGAGAAAGAGACAGTCTAAAGGGGTCTGATAGTACAAACAAAAGTGACAAAATTATTTTATTTCAGTTTCTCTATCACCATGTATTATACTTACTTTAAATGTGGTCAGAATTAATATATTTAAAAATGCAGAAAAGAAATATCTGTTCTGAGATTTTAAAATCTATAATTCAGCAAAATGCTTCTCAAATTCATAACATACTTTTCCTCTGGAAAAAAAAGCCTGAGAATGTTTATCAAAGAGTTCCAAATAAGAACAAAGTAACTACAATGATTTTTGATAATAATTATTAAATTTATATAAATATAACACTAAGAATCTAAGCCTCATGATACAGAAATAAATTCAAATATAAAATTAAATGCACGCTTACCACTTGAAAGTTCACTGAGATGTGTTGCAATCTTTCTGGTACTTGCATTTAGAGGTTTTACTTTGAGTCATTCTTTTGTCATTACTTCCCAACACACAGATCTCTTCTTAATAAAAGTTCTTCATGAGAATCTATTAGTAGTCAAACAAAAAAGTATCTCATACTTTTGTAAATAATTATCTTAACTATAATAAATCTAAAACATTAAAATAGGTGTGAAGAGATAATATAACAGATAAGGCGCTTGCCTTGCATATGGCCAATGAGGTTCAATTTCTAGCACCACATATGGTCTCCTGAGCACCATCAGGAGTGATGCTTGAACATAGAACAAGGAGAAAGTCCCAAGCACTGCAAACAAACAAATGTGTGGCCCAAACAAAAAATAAAATAAAAATACACTTCAGACCTAAAAATTCCCCAAAATATGCACCTGATTATCATTAACCGTGAAAACTGTTTTAAAACCACCAGTTCTCGTAAAATTAAATTTGAATTACACATTTAACATTTGTGATTCATCAAATTTTCTTGACCACAAGTCATGAAATTACAATACATTCTGGGATCACTGAACGCAATATAATGTTTAATAAGACACGAAGCTCCACAACTATTTAATAATAAGCAATAAAGAATTCAAAGAAGAAACTAATTTTACATTAAAATTTACATTAACATAAAGGTTATCCTTAATAATAAAATAATTAAGGTAATAAACCAGAACATTTCCAACAACTGCATCTTAAACGACAATAACATAGGGGCCAGGAAGACAGCGCAAAGGGCTGGAATACATGCTGTGCTGGTGGGAACCTCAGGTCCAATCCACAGCACTCAGGGTCCTGAAGCATAATCAGATGTGACCCCAAAACAACAATATAAAAAATGTGGTAAAGAATTATAGTGTGTATTCTCTAGATTTTAGTATCTTCAATATTTCACTAACTCAATTCAAATCTATCAACTATATGCTCTGGGCTGGAGCGATAGCACAGCGGGTAGGGTGTTTGCCTGGCACGCAGTCAACCTGGTCAACCAGAGTTCGATTCCTCCGCCCCTCTCGGAGAGCCCAGCAAGCTACCGAGAGTATCTAGCCCAAATGGCAAAGCCTGGCAAGCTAACCATGACGTATTCGATATGCCAAACACAGTAACAATAAGTCTCACAATGTTACTGGGCCTGCTCGAGCAAATGGATGAACAACAGGAGGACAGTGACAGTGACAGTGACAACTATATGCTCTATTGTGACACTGAACATAGAAGAGAAAGAAATAGGGTGATTCTTAAAGGAGACAGACTAATAAATACACAAATTAATACCAGCTAAAGCAAACTAATAAAAGATGGCATGGGAGCAAGAACGTATCTTGTTTTGTCAAAGTACTAGTTCATGAAACTATTTCAGTTATCAAAAAGCTTTGATACTGAATTGCATTGCAAAACGTATCTCTCACAGTAAAATGCCATCAAGAAATGACTTCAAGGAGGGGGGGCTAGAGCAATAGCACTGCAGGTGGGGCATTTGCCTTGCATGTGACTGAACTGGGTTAGATTCCCAGTATCCCATATGGTCCCCCAAACACCACCAGGAGTAATTCCTGAGTGCAAAGCCAGGATTAATCCCTGTGCATCGCCGGGTGTGGCCTAAAAAGCAAAAAAAAAAAAAAAGAGAGAGAGAGAGAGAGAGACTTTTGGGAGAATAAAGTATGAGTTAGCAAAAGATAATGTCATAGAAATAATGACATTTCTGAACAAGGAAGGGGAATACGCCATGGTACAAAAGCAACAGAGAATATGATGATATCCAAGGAAACTGACATGATTAGACTCAACACACATAGAAATACATAGACATATGAGGTCACATGTTGCCTACCCTTTTGACAGCAATCAAATCTAAGAAATAAATTTTATAAGGTTACCAACACACACATAATTCAAGAGCATATACAACTGAAAATATTTAATGAAATATTTACCCTTAGTCCATGTATTGCACTATGATGCTTTATACTATAATACAAATATAACATGCTGATCACAGCCTACTAAACTGATTTCATGAACCACACATAACGTGATCCTCAAAATCAAAGCCTCTGTTAAACCATTCCAGTGAGTCTGAACTTCACCTTGAACACAGTGTGGAAACCATTTAAGGATTTTACGTACAAGTATGATGTTAAAATCTACATTCGGCGAAGAAAAGCAACACTCTGAAGAACTGTCTTGGCTGCACAAAGCTCTGAAACTGACTACTTAAAATAATGAATAAAATGGCTATGGCTTATTGGATAGCCAGGTAAGAAAGAATGGAACAAAAGTGTATGCCAAAAGTGGCATCGAAAAGGATGCCTAAAGTGGCAATTCCAAGGAAAGGGATGGGGTGACACCTGAGGAACACTTAAGTCTGGAGACATGCTAGAAAAGTACATTATCAATAACTGAATGGGTAAAAGGTACAGGTCTTAGTGCTCAATAGGAAATATAGAGCAGGACCTAGGATAACCCCTAAGTTCATCGCTTAGGAAATAGGTGGTGGTACCATATCGCTTAGGAACAGTGGTACCACTCCCCAAGACAGAAATAAAAGGACAGCTCTAAGTTTATTGTGTATACTGCTTAGCATAGCAACATAAACTATTGTATACTGAGGATGTTAAAAAAATCCTTTAAAAGCATAATAATTGTATTTCCATTACTTTATAGGATATTTATAGACCTCTAATTCCAACTAGGGTCAGTTTTCCTATGGTCCAGGATTGTAAGATGGTCAGATGTAATTTTCTTCTACTAACTAAGTATATTTAAAGTGTTCTCCTTGGCTGCCCCTTTTATTTCTAGACTCCAAACACAGAATAACAAAACAAAGAACTTCACTCCAGTAGCAGGTAAATGAATTCATTTTTCAAAAAAATATCTCAAGCAAAATTGAATACATATAAACAAAACATTTTGAGATATGGCCAAATATTGATGCTGAAAGTATGACTCTAGAGTGACTTATTGATGTTTCAGCAAAACAATAGTCTCTATCAGTAACATTATTAGGTAATAGCACAGGTCAACTGGTTATCCATGAGTCAAACTCCAGTCAGTTGCTGGCTGAAATAAAAGAGAAAAAAGTCTTAACTTTCTCTATTGTTCTTAGAGTTACACTGCAACCACAGCATTCAAACAGCAATTAAAGGACTGGAGTTAAAAAGTAGGGTAAGTGAGGGCAGGAGTAAAGCTGGTAGCCTTGCACGTAGCTGACCCAGGCTCAATCTCCGGCAATACAGACTGTCGCCCAAGTGCTACTAATGAGAGATCCCTCTGAACCGAGCCATAAAAAAGTCCTGGATGCCACTGGGTATTGCTCAACAAAACGGAATAATAAAAAATAAATAAAAGTGAGTAGATAAAAGACAAAAAATAACCCTTGCTCAGAAAGCAGCACAAGGGAAAATCTATGCACGCACTAAAAAGTAACAAAGAGGGTGTGGCACTTCCTACATCAGATATGTTCTGTCAACAGAAGCAAGCTACTTATTTCTACTCCTCACTACATCAACACAGATTTTTTCAAAAATCAGAATTAAAATCAGTGAATGTTAAGATACAAATTTTTACCAAACCCTGCCCTTTTTTGGAAGTAATAAGAGAACAGATGAAGATAGCAGATACACTTCAGTCTCTTAAACGAAGGGGGTTAATCTAATTGAGGGGGTAGACACAGAAAGAGGACGCCTGAAAGGTAAAAGACAAACTTTTAAAATATTATATTTAGCCAAGATGACTAAGGGAATAACCATCATACTAAGGAAGTTTCCCATTAGCAAGCTACCAATGAGAAAGCAAGCAATATCAGCCTGCATCTATGAAGATCTGCCTTTTAAGACAGACTGATTCAATTTACTATACCAAGGATCATGGGATCTCCAAATCACAGTTCCAACAATAGGAATGCTTGGTGTTGTACTGTTTATACTTCTCTAGATATCTGCACTGGTTCAATAGAGTTCAAATAGTATTAATGGTTGTGCCACTTTAAACTGTACTAGTTTAAACTGCCATTTGCATCTACATCATTTGAAAAGTTGCATCTGAGATCTAATGGTTTATAAAAGCAACATAAAAGTGTACAACTGAGCTTTGGAACAACTTTCAAGCCTCCTGGGCCACCTCTTAGACATAGTGGTGTTGAGACCACCACATCAGATCTTCGCTTTATTCCAACTACTGGGCTGAAACAGATATCACTGATTCATACACAATACAGCCCCAGAAAAGAAAGGCTCATGACCACTTTCCTAGACTTCTCAATCTATGGCTTCACAAATCCATGACAATATTTTATGAAGGTGGTTTTCCACAAATTCTGAGTCAATTCCCATGAACGAAAGAGATCAGGCAGTGATCTTATATTCCATAAGAGGTAAACACTTCTGACTGACTGATCACTTCATGCTTTAAAGCCTAACTACTGAGCCAATTTTATAGATGATTTTTGTTGGTTGGTTGGTTTTGGTTTGGAGGCCACTTCTGGCAGTGTCAGGGGCTACTACCCTCAGCTCTGTGCTCAGGGGTTCTATAGGTTGTGCTCTATGCTGGGGGTGGGGGAGGGAGGTACAGACCCCGAAGGAGATACAACCCTAAATTCCTGCATGCAAAGCATGTGCTCCGTCCCTTGCGCTCTCTGACCTTATGCATGCAGTTTGGGGTTGTTTCAGAGTTTTTTTTGCTTTGTTTGGGGGCCACAAACCTAGCCTTGTGCTCAAGCCAGTCCTGACGGTGCTAGGGGCATTGATGTGGCGTTTGGCAATAGAAGTGGGGTCCGTTTCTCTGGCCCCTACGCACGCATTCTGAATGTGCAAATTTTATTAAATAATATGTCCCTGAAGACAATGTGACACAGGCATCATCATTTTATTTAAGATACACTTAGGTATATCTTATATACTCCAAAATAGTTAAGAAATATTCCACTATTCCAACTACGGTTTGAAAGCTTCTAATTTGGAAGATTCTAAAACTTGTTAACAGAAATCATAGCAATTTGAAAGGACCTGATTATAAACTTACTGTTTTACATCCACTGTGTGAAATTTTGGAATATCAAAAATTATTGCGAATGTATAGAATTACACATTGTTTATATTTTTTTATTACCAATAGTTCTTCAGGTAACTCCTTTAAACGTACTTTTCGCAGGGTAAGAGGTCTAAAGTGATTCACAAATATAGCATAAGCCAAATAAGCATAGAAAAGGTAAACTGAGCCTAACAGTACTGAACCTGATTTCCTGACTGTAAAGGGGGAGAGGCTTGGTTCTTTGATCCTCCCACGAGAGCTCAACTAGATAGAGCAGCGGGGCTCCTTCTAGTTTTTCCCTCTATAATTCAAAAGTCACTTGGTTCTCCTTAAAATAATTTCTCATATCCTCTTTTTCAAAACCTCTTTACTGAAAGGAGAACATAACTAAGATTGATAGCATCTCTCTGAACTTCATCTTTAAAACAAGCTCTGCTGAGATGGGAGACCTTAACAAGTTACTACTCGGGAGTCTTTCCAAAAGGGATCAAGCAGATGAGCAGCAAGACTGCTACTCTCATCACTATTACCACCAGTTCTAGTACTGTTACTGCGAGTAGCGCTCAAAAAGTCTTTGATTCCTACCATTACTCAAGGACTTTCTGAGTAGGCACATTAATTAGCACAGTAGGCCAAGGAGTCTTTTGATACACCTTTCAACTTGCATTTCATTATCCTTAGCCTAAATTCTAGCTTTAGGTGATCATTTATAACCCTCCCACAATGCCCATTTTTAAAAACTCCCCTCTTGGTCAGTATGTTCATGTAATAAGCAATCGTGTGCTCTTAGCCCTGGAGATACAGACATCCTCCACTGACTCACCGGGACTCTTTAAAATGTGACCCAAATAGAGCTTGAGAAAGACCACAACTTTTAAAGGCGCTCTCCAGTGAAAACATCCAATGACCTGGTGCAGTGAACGGTAGTAAGAGCCAAGCCAGGGCTGCCCTACATACGCTCTTTTCGCAAAACCCCTCGAGGATGTGGGAGTGGGAAGAGGCTTGAAGCGTGGGGTGCACAGGGGCACACTCCATCTCCTGGTGCCAGTCTCCCGCAGCCTCACAGGAACGAACGAGCCCCGTCAATGAATGAAAGACGTCGGTAAAGCCGGGCTCCCTGCACCCGTCTCCAGGTGGGGATGCAGCGAGGAAATCTGTAGCTTTCCGGAGAGGCGGTGGAGGGGTGCAATGATCAACAACAACAACAAAACAACAACAACAACAAATCTTCCCCCAAATCACCTCCGAGGCAGCGAGAACCCACCCAGCCAGCCCCACTTAGGGGAGGGGCGAGGTGGGGGTGGGGGGCGGGCAGCGGCAAATCTAGCTCAAGATGCTGAGCCAGGCCAGGCCGGGCGCGAGCGAGGCGCAGGGGAGAGGCGTGCGGAGCAGGGGCAGGAAGCAGGTGCAGAGAGAGAGGAGAGAGAGAGAGAAAGGGAGCAGGGCGCGGGCCGGGCCGGGGCCAGGTGAGGGCGGCGGGGCCCCCGCGGAGGCGCGGGCCGGGGGCCGAGGGGACCGGGGGGCGGGGGTGGGGGGCGGCCGCAGCGTCCCCGCGCCAACGCACACTCACCGGCGCCGGCGGGCTGGCCTCTCGCCGCGCTGTCTGACTGCCACCAGTGGCTCTTCCCCCTCCTCCTCCTCCTCCTCCTTTTCCTCCTCCTCCTCCTCGCCCTCCTCCACCTCCAGCGCTGCCGCCGCCTAGCCCGGGCCGCGCACCCCTTCCGCTTCCGGGAGCCGGAACGCCGCGGCGGCGAGGTGGGTGCCCGCCCGCCCAGCGGCGCCGGCTTCTCGGTGTCGCCACTTCGCGCCCCGGGGCCGCGATGGCAGCCGCCGAGGGCCGAAACACCAGCAATCGCGCCGCGGGAAAGCCCAGGCACGCGGGCGTCCCGATCGCGCGGGTTCCCGGACCCTCCGGGACCTGACGCCCCGGGGAGGGAGGCTGATCCGCCCTCCCCTGCCCTGCCCTGCCGTCCCCTTCCTCGTCCTGTGCAGGGTGCTCGCCCCCACATCCTCCCTCCGTCGCGGCACGGGCAAAGCGCTTTCCTTCAACGCTTCGTGGCTCTTTCTGCCGTCCGGGGAGCTGGCCAGCACGCTTTCTGGAGGCCTGAGGGACCTTGCATCAAAGGGCGACATCAGCATGCATCAGCACCCTTTGGGAACTTGTTAGAAACCCACGGTCTCGGGCCTGCAGGAGCTGTATCTGCATTTCACGAAGAGCTCTAGGTGACTCCTCCAAGTGCGTGGCAAGGTTGAAATGCACTGTAATGGAAAGCAATGTCTTGCCCATTTCTGGTCCTCCATGAGGCAAAACCTGGTTGTTCCAGCTAGCCAGGATTTTTCCTTCTTCCTGACAACCACCTAAATCCATACCCAAACAGATTTCGGTAGACTTCAGAGTTACATCTTTCTTTTCCCTGCAATCTAGGGGGAAAAAAGAACTATAAACTCTCCACCTTTCCTCATGAACTATATTTTGGGAAGGTTCAAGCGTTTGCAGTAACATGGAGCAAAAGCTATGTTCCTGCACATCGTGGGAAGAAATAGCGTGAGAATAAAGGAAATGTCTTTGGCTCAATAAAATCTGAGCTCCTTATAGGATGACACTGAAAGTACTCTTCAGAGTGCTCCCTCAGTAGTTCTCAGCTTTAGCTAATTTGGTCCCTATCCTAGAAAGCCCTCCGTCTCTGGTGACATTACTTCTATCTAACTCGGAAGACAATTCAAATGCTTCAACCAAGAGCTTTCTTTCACCTATAGTCTTCTTTCATATACCTTGAAACTTGATTTAGGGCCCTCATGTTACCTTGAGGGGGTATTTTAAAATGTGTTACCACTGGGGTCCTGAATTAATTACAAATATCTTGCAGTGGTTATCATAATAAGGTCCCTACACCAGCGGCATCAATACTACATGGAAATTTGGAAGAAAAAAATATCTACCCCAAAGCCACTATATTACAAATTTGGGTAGGGGGAGGCAAATAAAAATATGTTTTGACTAGCCCTCCAGATAATTCTAATGCATGGTTAAGTATTTTTAATTACTCACCCAAAATATTGTCTCTTATCCACAAAGTATTTTGGTGGTTGGGATTCATTTGACTGTATGCAAGTTTTATTGCTTTTTGTTTTTTAATGTCAAGAAATAAATTCCTCCATTCACACATAACTAGGTCATAAGACTGTCATAATTGTTTTTGGAAGAATTTGCTTTGCATAATGCATTTGATTAAGATTTCTGCGACTTGGTTTGCTTGGGGAGTAAGTAACTCTAATAATTAATAAACTTCGGGGAAATAAAATATGTGGAATACCCCTCACCCCAATCCAGGTACCCAAATTGCAACTTATTTTGCTCTTCTTATATTCCTAGCATATACTGAGGAGATAGAATAATCTGTGCCAAATGATTTCCACAAACACCAAAATGATATTTAGTTGATTGGGACATGAAATGTAACACAATACTTGGAAGTTTGTGTGTTTTCTCATGCTTTTTCCTTTTTTGTCAGTTAGTGTCTCATCAGTCAAATCAATTCCACAGAGAATTTTTCTAAAGCAGACATGCAAGGAAAGGTGTGGCAGAGAAAACATTGGAAAATTATGATTCTTTTTTATTATGAGCAGGTAAGTATAATCAAGGGCCTATCTGTCCTTTCACTGACGGCCATTGATGTTAAACATTGACAATATGGTGTTGCAATGCATGTACATAGACAACTATCTCATTAGAAGTAAGGGAGAAATGCCACCTTGTAAATTTGTTTTGAGGAGCTTTTTTCTTGACTATCAGGGTGAAAAGAAGAAACATGTTATGATTTTTTTCCTCCCAGAATTCTGGTCCCTTCATTGTGGCTGGCTGAGTGAGATGTGATTATTAATCAGTCTCATATTAATTTGGGTATAGAAAAAGTAGACATGGACAAGTAGACTCATTGCCATTGCCAACTTAGCTTCTCAACAAAGGCACAGTCAGGGCATTTATGCGGATTAACTCAGCCAAATACTGTGCTTCTGTGCAGTGACGGGGGAGAACTGGATTTTACTGCAATTTCCAAAAGTCAATGCAAGTGCAGTCCAGAGTTTAATCAGCACTGGCTAATAGCCCTTGGCAGCTTTGGGTGGATGGCGTTCTCCACCTGCCCAGCTGGGTACCATGCCCTAAGCACCCACATTTGATGCACACTCATGATTCTTGGTTGCTTATAGTCATCTCTCCCATCTGTTTGAGTGGCAGAGTGCCCGTTCCACAACAGTCTAATATTCTAATAGTTGTGCTTAACCTCCTTCGGGTTTTACACCTCTTTGAACATCAAATGAAAATTGTAGACCCTTTTCCCAACAAAGTGTACACACACACATGCGCGCGCGCGCACGCGCACAATTATATAAACTCACACAGTTTACATATAAAGTTTCAACGCTACTCAGCTTTCCATACATCCAAAAACCAGAAGGAGCTTATAAAATTCAGCTTAAAATTTGCCCTAGGATATATAGACAGAATAATGTTTTTTATATTAAATAGCACCAGCTCTTTAAAAAAAATCTTTTTTTTTTTTTACTTAGGAGACAGAACAAAAACATGGTTAAACATAGTTGTGAGGAAAATGCACAAGAATGCCAAGGAAGAAGCTGGTAGCTTCTGCTGTGTGATTCACGGATGGCTTTTTGAAAGGTTCATGTATCAGGAGCATAAGTGTAGGATTTTGGTTGGGACAAGTAACTCCTTCAAGATAAGAAAGACATGGGGACATGAAAATAAATTATGTGGTTTAAGTGTGAAATAGATGGGAAGAGCAGGGGGGAAATGGAAAAATAGAAGTCAAATAATTGTGTGCTTCAATTATAATGCTCTGTTTAGTAAGGATCCATTAAATTATTGGAGTAGGACAAAGGGTAGCTGTAATCTTGAAAGACTTTATCAGTGAGGGTAGTGGCATTATAGCAAGGCAGACTGAAGGGGCATTTGGAAAAGGTTTAAATAATCTTAAATTGGAACGCTGTAAAGCGGAATGAGTTTGTCTCAGCTTTTCGGGATTGCTTGATATCTCCAGAGATAGCTCCAGAGATATCTCTTAAGCTAAATCAAGATAAATCTGAGAGTATTGCAGTTGATAAGTACTCGTGTGAAAATATACCTAGCAAATGCTCAGATGAATTTAGAGCCCAGATGATGAAAGAGTTAAAGTCTGATCAGAATCGAAAGGATGCAAATCAACTTGGAAAAAAGAAAGAATGCCTACCACTATTAGACTCAGAGGCCACCAATAAAGCCAGCTGCAACTTTAATAGGAAACATGGTTTTTGCCAAGGTCATGTAGTAATTATAAATCATGATAATGACCCCTGCTTTCGGTGATTACTGTCCATCAATGCCCCAGATTGCCTGTTATTTTTATTTGTTACTAGAGATACTCTGTTGCCCAGCCACCATTACCTCATGGTCAAACTTAGTCCCTTCCTATTCTCATCCCACCTCAAAACAACAACCAATCTAAAACAATTTTTTCCTTCCTTAAGTACCAGGAGCCCAATTAAAGAATAAATCCTTACTCCTCCATCGTATCTAGTGTCACTTCTCCAGAGTTTCTTTCCTCCTTGTCAAGCAACACAGCTGATTTCAGCCAGTTACAGTCTTGTTCCTGGGAATCTTTGGCTGATACGTTTCCCAAACCCCTTATATAAGGAAACCACCAGTTACCAGGACTCATAAACAAGTTTATTCAGGAAATAGGTCTCCCTTTGTGTGCCAATGATCCCTGAAATAAGGCTAAACATGGGAGGGAGTGATCAGGTCATCTGATTCTTGAGCTTGTGGAAAAATGTAAAGTGATATCGAAGGTAGCACTGTAGCACTGTCCTTAGCACTGTCCTCCCATTGTTCATAGATTTGCTCAAGTGGGCACCAGTAACGTTTCACAACAAATTGTGAGACTTGTTGTTACCGTTTCTGGCATATCGAATACGTCACTGGGAGCTTGCAAGGCTTTGCTGTCTGGGACAGGCTCTCCGAGAGAGGCAGAGGAATCACCCGGGTCTGCCGCGTGCAAGGCAAACACCCTACCCACTGTGCTACCGCTCCAGCCCCGATATAGAAGGTAAAAAGAGAAAATGATGTTAAAAACACTTTTTATGGGGCCAGAGACAGTTTGATGCTCAAGGCCACGTGCCTTGCATACACAATGACCCAGGTTTGATCCCCAGTAATGCATGATCCCTGCATGCTGTATTGTGTAGTCCTGGAAGTCACCAAGCACTGTTGGAGTTTTCTTGGTGGTCCCCAAAAGCACTTGGAGTAAGCAGCACTTTATCACAGGGTTCAAGCGTTGAAATGCCCGGCCCAGTTTGTTGAGGATTTCCAGCGGGGGGGAAATGGATTATTAGAATTCCAAAACAGAAGAATTGGGTCGAAAAAGATGATGAAAAGTTCTTCCTGGTCTGGAGTGATATTAGCAACATAGTGAAAACAGGACAATTTTGGTGATGCCGCTGAATGCGAGGAGATTGGCATTTTCATTGAGTGATTCAACTATGAAGAAAATAGTGAAAATGTATTGAGGAAAAGCTGAGTTTGGCTCCAAACACAAAACCAAGAAATACGGAAAAGAGAAAAAAATGTATTAGAATTGAAAATTTAAACAAAATGTGGTGCGGAAGCACAATAAAATCAAGCAAAAGAGTAGGGTTATCTTTGCTAGTGCTGCTAACCT